TAGGGTTCCTTCAGACTTGTGCAGGACAGGGAGTAAGGTAGTGGTGCTCGCTAAGAACAGGAGGGTAATTGTGTATTGCATTATGGCCATTGCTCATAAGTGAAGCTTAGCATCTAACAAAACAGACAGCTGTCCTGCAGCACTTAGGCACGTGGAATGATATCCAAGGAGCTGCTGCACGTGTCAAGATTTCACAGGAATAGCATACAAATCAACTGAAGTTTGCCTGCTCTGAATAACAGTCTGAACCAGATTCCTTCCCCCAAAGTTCCTTTCAACCCAAGTTGTTCTTCATGCCATTAGGATGACAAAAAAAATAATCACAAGAGCAGTACATACAGTGTATCCTAAGGTCTTCTGAACCTTTAACATTGGCATTTGGGGCCTGGCAATTTACTTATCCAAACAGTGTTGACTACACATCAACAGTTCAGGGCTCCCAACCCCTTGGAGATGCCACGTTTCCAACTGCTGCTGTGTTGAGATGTCTGTCACAGCTAAGTTCATAATACTGACACTAATCTTGATACAAAGTCTCTGATTTTAAAAAGCCCCCTGAGCTACAACCAGCCTTCGCACTGTGAAGTTTAAAAAGCATTTTTCCACGCACTGTAACTACTTCTTAAAACTCCAGCTCTTCACAGGTGAACATTAAGAGACCAATAAATACAAGTGCTGCCAGAGATATTATACCAGGCACGTACTTCCCCACACCATCAAGCATTTTAATCACATATACCTTTAAAACACAGCACTTCAGCTCTGCAGCAGTGTTACAAGGAAGCCAGAGCCATGTGTGAAACCAGCTCTGCTTTCTGCTGAGCAAAGGCTGAAGGCCTTGCTCTGCACGCAGCGAAGGGATTGCATCCTTCCCACAGGCTGGTGCTTCACGTCTGGAGACAGCTGCTTTTAGAGCCTTGGACAGGTTAATTCGTGGAAATTTGAGATAACACCCATTTTAAGCTTTAGAACCAACACCAATAGGTGTCAAATGTTCGCGTCCAGTATTATGCCAATATCATGACACTGAAATTTCAGGTCGTGGCATAGGCTGCCTAAAGTAAGCTGAGAAGAAGGCAATAATTCTAGCAGACAGACTCGAGAGACAAAAGATACTTGGCTTCTGAACGATCCTGATGGGCTGTCGAAGGCTACCATGAAGATTTGAACTCACAGAACAGAGAAAGACAAAGCTCGGGGAAAGGAACAACAGACATTAGCTGGAACAGCCAATCTGTGCAGCAAAAGCAGTATAAAAACAAGACCTTGCCTGAGAGACTAAACAAGATAGAGCAGGCTTTTCTGATAGCAAACACAGGAGCTCCCAGCACAGGTGGCCATCGATTCCAAACCACACCAGCCAACCAGACGCACATTGCCGTTCCTGCCGGGGAGCGGAGCGGCGCCGGGTGCGAAGCTTCGCGCCCACGTGCGGGCATCGCGCCTCGCAGCGCGGATATCGATCCGGGCACGAACAAAGGCGGCCGCCGCGGCTCTGCCGTAACCCGCCGGGCCCCGCGCTGGGAAAGGCAGCCCGAGCATACACCGCGTTCATTTTCCGACGTGAGCGCCGGGAGCCGGAACGGCCACGGCACGGCTGCTTTCCCAGCGAAGAAGGGAACCTCAGGCGGACGGCGGATCTCCTCGCGGGGAACCCCCGCCCGCCCGCGCGGCCTCCAGTGCTGACTCACCGGCAGCTCGCGCCGCTGGAGGCGAGCCGCTCCCGCCCCCGGCTCCGCGCAGCCCGCCCCGGCCCGCAGGAGCGCCCGGCCGCATTGTTCGGCCCCGCGCCCCCCCCCCGCACCGCCTCGCCGCTCCCCTCGGGCCCGGGCCGCGCTCACCCTTCGCCAAGGCCACGGTGGAGTTCTCGGTGTCGATGGTGTAAAGGATGCCCTCATAGCGGATCTGCGCCTTGGAGATGAGGCTGATCTTGCTGCCGATATACGGGGTCCCCGAGCTCATGGCGGCGCTCCGAGGGGCCGCGGCCGCGCGGGTGGCTGCAGCGCCCGCCCACGCACACTGCGGAGACGGGAGCCCCGCCGCGCGCGCCTTAAGCAGGGCGGAGGGAGACGGGCGGCGGGGGGCGCGGAGCGGGGGCGTGCTGCGGGAGCGCCGCGCATGCGCGATTACCGCCCGCTATTGACCAGACGGGAGACGGGGTCAGACGCGAAGGGTGCGGGGAGGAGAGGGGAGGGAGCGGGGGGAGGAGGGGGGAAACCCGGGGCCCGCGTCACGTGACGGGGGCTGCCACGTGCGCGCGGGCGGGGCGGTAGGGGTGGGGCGAGGCGAGGCGAGAGATCGCGGCCTTCCCGCCGCGGCCGAGTGTGGTGGGGCGGAGCCGTGCGGTGACGGGGCCGAGCCGGGAGGGTTTGTTACGGAGCCTCAGCTTCCCCCGCAGCCCGTCTCCGTGTGAGGGCAGCTTTCCCGCGCTGGAAGCCCCTCCCGCTATACCGCGGGCGGCCCCGAGCCGTTCCGCCGCTGTTTGCGCACAGGGCGGCAGCGCTCCGCTCCGTCCCCGCCGTGCCGGCGTTGTGCCGTGCCGGTGCCGCAGGCGCAGCTCTGCGCTTTGTTCGGCGTGGGGTCCCGCAGGTAGGCGGGCCGGGAGCTCTCGGCTCTGCTCCCCGGGGACTCTCGCAGCCCCTCTCGGCCATCTGCGGTCAGCTCGGACATCTGGCAGGCAGCTGCAGGAGGTGAAGGCGGCGGGTCGCAGTGCGCGCATCTCGGCGATTTGAGCGAGGCAAACGGGGTTCAGAAGCGGCAGCTGCAGAGGGCACGGCGGGAGCCGCTGTGAAGCGCCGTTCGGTGGGGCTGCGCACGGCCGTCCCTCGGTTACACGGCTGCCGCCCCAAAGCCACTGCCTGCAGTCCGCGGCTTCGGCTCCCCGACACAAAGCTCCGCTTCCCGCGCACCGCGGCTCTGCGGCTGCCCTCTGCCCTCCGCTGCGCGCGGAACGCGCCTTCCTCGCTTTCTCCCGCGAACAAACGGGCGGACTTTCTCTTGTTCGATTTGCAGCGACTCTGCTTGGAGACGGTTGCTAAAATAGAAAAAAATATAAAGGATTCTGTCCGCCTGTATGCGGGTTGGGTGAGCTGCGTTCTGGAACAAGGTTGGCCTTTGAGGTCAGCCTGCCTGTCCGTAGGTGTTTACCTCAGCATGAGGTACAACGGAGCCAAAGATCCCTTCTTAGTGCGTGCTGTAAATGGTGCCCTTCGCTGGGCGAAGTATTGATTGAAATCTTCCCTGATGAAAAGACTCGTGTGGCCTCCTTACGTGAGGAGTGTCTGTTCTGAGAATGTGGAACTGTTCAGATTGAGAAAAGGTAGGGGGAAAAATAACAATAAAAACAATAACAATAATAATAATAAATGCTGAGTTCAGAGGCAGACACAAAAAATGGGTAACAATGATGTTAGGACAGATAGTATAACCAAAGGTGGAACAGTAGGACTTTCTCTTCTGGTTTGTATTCTCAAATTTATGTATATATGTGTGTGTGTGTATATATATATATATTTTATGGCAGTACATCCCTTACCTAAACAACCATGGGGATCCTGAAAGGAGACAGTGTGATAACAATGCACAAATGTGGCATAAACTGCTGACAGGTAAGGAGAGATGTGTAACCGTATGGAATTTTAGTTGTAATCATCATGGCCATTAATTGGCCTGACTCTGGAAGATACTCTTGTAATTAATTACCTCAGTAGCTGAGGTACCTCAGATGACTATCTGAAAGAGGTGGTAATTTCTTTTATGCTTCTCTACACATTTTAGAAGTTGGCAGGGGGAGAAATAACCAGAGATGGCACATGGAAGGCTACAGTCTTAAAAGGGAGTGAAGAAGAAGAAAAATAGGTTAGTGTGGAAATTGGGGAAAATTAAAGTGGATATGGCAAACAGAGCAAATTATATAAAGGCAGACACACATACACCCTAGGACAGGGGTATTCGACTTTTTGACTTGCCTGGGCCTCACTGAGTGAAGAGCAATTGTCTTGGGGATGCATATAAAATGTATAAAATAGTGAATGTATGTAAGTAACAAAACTTTTAAATATATTTTTAATTAAAATATAAAAAAGGACAACAAAAACATAAAACTAGGGGCTAGACGCATGTCTGACTGTAAGAAATACAAACATAAAAGGAGGACGTTGGCTGAGTTTTGTAGATGCACACTCTTTGTAGGACAGAGTTTCATTATTTGAGATGAAGTTTTCGCTGTATCTATACTTTTGTATTGAAGTGTACATTTTCTGAATAAAAAATGGCAAAGTAAAGTTATCCTGGCTAAGCAGATGGTGAACTGTACATGGATTCTGGGAGATGGAGGTAATTTTAAGAGATCCTTTCAGAAAGTTGAGTAAATGGACATGATAAGTGATGCAACAACAAAAAAAAAGGTTGGTGAAGCTGAAGTTTGCAGTTTGGTCACAAAAATCGAAGGATGAAGTCTCATAAGCCAGACCTAGATTCTAAAAAAAGGTGTTTAGGCATCTATCTTCCATTCAGATGAGTGAGAGAATTCAGAACTAAGTTTAGAAATAATTAGGACAAAAAAAGAGATAACTATCTAGGACAGTGGGGAACACTGAACGTAGCCTGAAATGCAGAGTTCCATTAGGAAAGGTCTCTGTTTTGCTGCATAGGCTGCTCTGTAGTGGTATGGTGAAGCCACAGAATCACCGAATGACTGAGGTTGGAGGGAACTCTGGAGGTCATCTGGTCCAGCCTTCTGCGCAAGGAAGGTGCCCTAGAGCTCAGTACCCAGCAGTGCCTCCAGGATGCTTTGTATATCTCCAGGAAAGGAGATTTCACAGTCTCTGGGCAGCCTGCTCCATTGCTCAGTCACGGTTTTTCCTCATGTTGACAGAACTCCTTGTGTTTCAGTTTTTGCCCATTGCCTCTTAGCCTTGCAATGAATCACGACCCTCTGTATATCCTGAGATGCTCCGATATCAGGGGATGGGATCATCAAGTTTTCTCTGGCATGAGATCAGAGACCTTCTTGTACACTTCGCAGTGGTCTTAGTGGAGAGAAGGAGGAGCAGCCAGGAGAACAGCCTGATGCACTGCTTTGGGGGCAGCCTTTTCAGAACAAGATAATATGTTTTGGAGAGTATGAGTTGTTGCATTTGGTGCATATTTCAGACCTCTAGACGTTTCAGGGTGTCAGATTTTACCATTCATTGCATAGAAGTCTATCTTTACTAATTGGGCTTGCCTAAAGTTTCCGGAAGTCTCCATAGCAGTGTTTCTTTAAGAGCTCCTCCTGTTTTAATACTACTTTCTCCCTCCACAAAGTGTGGAGTACATTCAGGCTATCAGAACTGAACACTACTTACCTCATTGGGATGAGGCCTGAATAGGGCTGAACCAAGATCCTGCGGGCCAATTCTTGCTGGTGCAGGTGGACTCACAGGACAACTACATCACTAGGCTGGAACACAGAGGAAGAAGGTTCTCTATTAGATGTGAGACGGGGACCACATTTGCATTAATGTTCTGTAGTGGACTCTTGTTAAGCCAAAGAAATGAATCTCCCTCTCCTTACGTGTGTTAAAAACATCTAGGAGGTTTTGCCTCTTTCTGTTGAGCTAGGTAATGTATCATTTTACCTAGGCTCGGCAGTATGCTGTTCTTTTCCTGCCTAACATCTGCTGCAGTTTTCATAGCTTGAATTGCTCTTTGACTAGCTGTAAAAGGCATGTTTCAGAAATGTCTTTAAGGATGTGAATTAATATTCACCCTTTTCTTCTTCCTTTCTGTTTGCTATTTGACTTCTTAAAAAGCAAGAAGTTCAAAGTTTTAATTCACATTTATGTTAAAAATACCAAGATTAGTAAGGCTAATTCATAGCAATAGGATTTTAGTGCTGCTTCAGAAAGTAATTTATTTTTCTATAACAATAAACTGGCATTTAATCTCCTTCATTTTGCAGAAGCTGCATTATAAATCAGTCTTCACTTAAGACAGCAGAGTTTCTGGCGGGTTGCCTCTAACTGGCACTTCTTACTGCTGTGGTATTGGTGTGCATTCTTCCCACATCCACCTGAAAATTCTGACATTTACTGTTGCAAGGCTTTTGCATTGTTTGTATTTCATACATTGTTTTTCAGTTACTTGATGTATGGCAAAGATTTTCTTAATATACTTTTAAACCACCTTTTTTTTTTCTTTCTATAGCATAACGTTAATAGTAACATCTGAGATTTAGCATTTCAATTTTCACACTCATATCATCTAAATGTGCTTGCTTGTTTGTTGGTTGGTTTTCCAGAGAGCCTTGCAGCTTTGCCCTGGACTCTCCACGTCACAGAGCAGCATTTTCTCTGTTCATGACATCACGTGTGACAAACTCCTGAGCTTCTAAAGGCTGTCTGGGAAGTAAAGTTTGGACGTTTTGAACGAAAAAGTTTGGGCAACTATAACTCAGAGCAGAAATTGATCTAAAACAATTTAATTGTTGATGAAGCATAAAGAACCAGAGGTGGAGATGAGAGTGATGTTGTGAGTTGGTAAAAAAAAAAAAAGAACATATTTTAATATAAACTGCATGAAATCTGTTATTTGCATCCTCAAGAGAATGAACTAGAACCCAGAAATGACAGTACTGAATGATTTCTAACAACTATCTGAAACTATTTGAGCAGTAGTAGGATAACAGTGCTGTCTGGTCTGTGCAGGACAAGAATCAGTGATTCAGTGCCTTTGTGATGCAGGTGGCTTCTTGCTCCACCCAGGTATAAAAGAGGACGATACCTCCTGGAGGAGAGGTGGTCCGTATGAATTGCAACGTTTGGAACTTAGAACACCTGAAAGCAGACAAATGGCAGGAGAAGGTTGAAGGGCTCTGTGTTCTGTGACTCGTTATTACTGGGTAAGAGCCAGCACGTTGGAGGATCGCACCAAAACAAAACCCAGTGTCCCAGTGTGTAACTCGACATAGCTGTTAGGGTCACAAGGAAGTTAAGTTTGAAGAGTTTTGTTGGGGATGCTGCCAAGTCGTACAATGCCATGTAGATTGCTGCATGTCAAGGAGCAGTAGTGAATGAGTGAATTTATTGGCCCACTAAGCTGTACAGAGCAGCAAAACTAGCTCCCTTTTTTGCTCTGCTGAAAATAAGGGAAACAAGGTTTACAGTTTCATAAAAACAACTGGACTTCCTTGCAGAAGAACGTACAAACCGTCACTTCCCTACCGAATCGTCTTCTCTAAATGAGATGTGGTGTTTCTTGCTTGCCATTTTGTCCAGTTGTTAATAAATGATTCATTTACGCAGATGGATGGGTTTACTGTCCTAGCTAGAAAATTAAATAACAATGACTCACTATATAGAACTCTGCAGTAATGAAGGAGTATTGCAAGTAACCTCATGCAGAAAAAAAAATTGACAGTTACGAATAAGTTAACATAAAAAGCTTGGCCCTCCATCTGGAGTGTCATTTCCTTGGGGTTGGCAGTTTTCCCCATCTTGCGTTACGAGAGATAAAATATTTGTCTGACTGCTTCAGAAGTTGCAGTGGGAACTTATCCCATGTTTAATTGAGTTATTGGATTAGTTTGGAGTTTCAAAAATGAGCAAAAGCTTGTTAAAGGAATAGGGGCATGGCCTTGAACTCTGTCTCTGATAGGGAGGATGTATTTTAGGTAGGGTAAGAAAGTAACTTACAGTCTGGAGTGCTATCCCTGACTGTTTTGTACTGCTGGAGAATTCAGAAGAAACCAACAGTGGATAATGGCCTTTCTTGCTGTGCTTTCATTAAGTCTGAGGCAGCCCAATAAAGAAGCTACAGCATGATTTATTTTAATCAATTAATACGGAGAATTCATTAAAATAAACTTGGCAAAAACTCGCTTACATACTTTTTGCATTCCAAGTCCGCAAAACGTCAAGATACAATCTCATTTCATTATAATCATCAGAACAAACCTCCTTTACTACACTGCTTTTGTGTTTTACTTTACACTGTGCTGTTCCTGTACTTCTGTCTTCACTAACTTTCCAGTTCGGTTTATTTTGTGTCTGTTTTCTTCATAATGTCACTAGGATCAGTCGGGTTGCTCCTGCCATCCCATACAGCTCAGAGCACTTGGCGGACTGATGGGGGCTGGAGCAAGGAGCCGTTTCTGTCATTTCTGGAGCACTTCAGCCATTTCTGTCACCTGAAGGCGACTTTCAGAAATGCTTGCACGTGTGATTATTCCTTCAATTAAAACTTACAGGAATATGGTCTCAATGTATGTGTGTTACGCATGCTGAAAGTTTTACCAACTCTGCCCTGTTCATTCTATTTGGCGTTTCTTATTGCTGAGCTACAGTGTGTATATTGGAGCACAAACATGATCCTCCTTTTAAATAACAACTGTTTAAGAAGAGGAGCACCGCGGGGCTTGTAAATGATTTAGATAAAGGCGTAGGAGCAAAGAATGCTTCCCGCTCTGTTCCTGTAACTTACCATCTCCAGGCACTGTGACAAAACAAATGTCAATCACATGCCAAATACTTTCATCTACAGCAACTGCTGTCTCACAGCTGGCATAGCACTAACCGTACCTGTTCGTGGTACTGACCAAAACCAAGCAAGATGAAGGTTTCTCTTCAATTCCTTCATTTATGGTTCATTTCTTTTTTTTTTTTTTTGAAGATGTGTGAGTGCAGGGCAGCACATGAAGAAAGAGGATAAAGCTGATTGCCATGACTGGCCAGCTCTTAGGTATCTAGTAAAAACTCCTGAGGGTGCAAAGAGGCAACAGCCAGGTATGTCTTATTGTCTTGACTGGAAAAGTTCCAGCAGCCTTCAGCTCCCCAAGGAGCTCCAGATGTAAGTGCATGCTGCCCTGCTTCTGATGCACAGAACGGAGAGCGTAGTAACATCTCGCCTTCTGGGTTCCTATCTCCTCTGGCTTTATCTGATACACAAAGGAGCATATAAAGGAGATGAAAACAGGAAGGGAAATGGCTGTTTACAAGGATAGATAGTGATAGGACAAGGGGGAATGGTTTTAAACTGAGACAGGGGAGGTTTAGGTTGGATATTAGGAGGAAGTTTTTCTCACAGAGGGAGGTGAGGCACTGGCACAGGTTGCCCAAGGAGGCTGTGGATGCCCCATCCCTGCAGGCATTCAAGGCCAGGCTGGATGTGGCTCTGGGCAGCCTGATCTGGTGGTTGGCGACCTGCACACAGCAGGGGGTTGGAACTGGATGAGCATTGTGGTCCTTTTCAACCCAGGCCATTCTATGATTCTGTGATTAGAAAGATGAGGAGGCGATGCACAGCAACACATTGGCATCAAGAAAACAATCTTGGCATAGACAGGAAACTCTTCTTGTGGACTTTGAATCTGTTTCACTCAGACCATACCTTTCAGAATGAGCTGCTGACAGCTAGTTTAAACTGTAGCTCACTGTTTACCTCAAGCTGGTCACGTTAGTAAACACTGTGTTCCTTTTTTACAAGGTATTGATTGGCATCTCCCTTATTTCCCCAAATACACTTTCTAGGGAGTAGAGAGGAATTAATTATCTTTTATCAGGTAACTATGTTTGCAATTGTTCCAGCTGATAGTGGCAACATGTAGAAAAGTTGAACTCGGACTGGTGAACAGATTAATATACTAAAAACAGCATGAAGCCAAGGAATTTGCATAGAGCCCAAGAGTGCATATAGTGCAAAACTGGAATAAGTTGCATCTCAAGAGATCTCACAGAGTCCATAGTCTTCTCCTCTCCTCTCCTCTCCTCTCCTCTCCTCTCCTCTCCTCTCCTCTCCTCTCCTCTCCTCTCCTCTCCTCTCCTCTCCTCTCCTCTCCTCTCCTCTCCTCTCCTCTCCTCTCCTCTCCTCTCCTTTTTCATCTTTTCTTTCTTTTTCTGCAGGATTCCAGTGATGATCCTCAGAAAGGTGAGGCTGTGCCTATATTCCCCTTTGGAAATACAAGGCAGTTTGTGGCTAGCACAGCAGAAGCTGGGGAGGTCAGGAAGATATTAGATTTAGATTAGATTAGATTAGATTAGATTAGATTAGAATTACCCATCTTTCTTTAAAGAGCCATTGGGGTCTTGGTTGATTTACCTGTTGGTTTTCCAGTGCGGGGAATCATAAATGAGAAAAAGGAGCAGTGATCCATACTGCTTAAACAGTAAACAGTGAGTAATGGTGAACAGAACGTGAGATATTGAACGATACTGGTAAGACAGGGAAGAACAGCTCTGAGTTAAGAGGGTTCAGCAGAGGCCAGAACTGAAACTTCCATTGTATCACTGTGCCATGGCTCAGACCTCTGACCATATACTGTTGACAAAACATCACTGTCAGGGTAACAATTCACTCACAAAGAGTCCCAGAACTGAAGCCAAAGCTGAGAAGACCACCTCTCAGTAAAAAAGGAATATTTCAAACGTATTCTAAGAAGCCCAGACTGTAAAATGTGCAAATTGG